AATGGATAAAATTCTCAATAGTTATTACACAGAAGAGTTAAATCAAAAGCAGGCAAACAATTTAAATAGACCTATAATTAAAACAAATCAAAAACAAAGTGAGCCCTGTTTACTGGGCAGTGTTTGGAGAACAGGAAGAGTACATGGAAACATTACTACAGAATGGTTACAGCCCAGATGCACAGATGTGCTTAGTCTTTGGATTCAGGTCCCCTCTGTGCATGGCTTTCCAAAAGGAGTAAGTATATTTGTTACATTTTACTTATATTTAATTCCCAAGTGACTTTTCTTCATAGTGAAACTTGGTATCGCTCTTCATACTAAGTTGCTAACCTAGAAAAGGCCTGCTTCAGAATGTGTTGTTCAATCTAGCAGAAGTGAGGTTGATAACACCAGATTATTTACCTTTTCTTTTTGAACCTGGATTATACTTTAGGAAAATTTTTAATATATTAACATAAATGCTTAGGCCTACTGTGATGTCTTTGAAATGATTCAAGAACCAAAAATGGAACCTATCAAGCAAGACAGTAATTGCTTCAGGTTTTTAACTATAAAACTTCTTTATTTATTATTTTATAACCCTTACAATAAAACTTTGTTTTAAGATACTTTTTTATTACTTTTTAATGTACATGGGTATTTTGTCTACATGTAGTCTATGCACTGCATTCGCACAATGTCCACAGAGGCCAGAAAAGGGAACTGGAGTTGCAGATCATTGTTAGCTGCTATGCTGGGAATCGAACCTGGGTCATCTGGATCAGCAGCCAGTCCCCTTAACTGTTGAGCCATCTCTCTGGCCCCAATGCTCTTACTTTTTACTGGTCTGAGATTTAGAAGTAGAAACTCTCAGTGAGGACACCCTACATCTCTTTACCATCTGTTCCTGGCTTTTCTCATTTTCTTGGCCAAACATTTAGCATATTCTGCATCCTCCTCTTACTGTCTTAGTGTGTTTTTCCTTCAGAGCAGTATGTTGGCATTTATGTTGTAGGACACTTGGATAACAAGATTTTTTTTTAGGTGAGTACAAAGTTTTATAGGTACTTTATGAACATCAGAATCAATTGGGTCCTTTTCTCCAAAAGCCTGATATCATATTACACAACCATGAACCGCTACTTTCCCAGGTTTTGTTCACAAGCTGTGTTCTGACAAAGGACGGAGAACTTGTCCTCATAACTGATGTTTAGGTGAGAAGGCAAAAGACAATCTGTCAATCTGATTTGCCAGGGAAGAAAGCCTAAGGTGCTGTCCACAGGACCAAACTTCCATACTAACTCAGGGTCAGGGAAACCATGTGAATTAAGTAAGCCATCTAGCAGATCTACATCCAAATCTCTGGGTGTCCTCTGCTGCTGAGCAAAATTCCTGAGCAGCTCTCAGAATATCTTCTTTTTCATCTTCTGGGGACAGCACCTTCACTACTGAAGGGCAATTTAAAACTTTGTCATCTTTTCATTACTACTTGTAAATTCTGGTGATCATTTGGAACAATCTCGGTCCAAAAGTTCCTATTGTTGTTTCAAAATTGCATCCATCAGTCTGGAAATATTTCTCTTAAATAGGCCTTGGTGGTCTTAGACACTAATGTAGAGATCCCCAAGACCATACACGACACCATAGTGTCTGAGAAGCTGGGCTCCTGCTCCTCCTTGGTGACCACCAGACCCATGTGCACTAGCAGCTTCTTCAGGGACCCGCCATTCAAGCACCAGCACAGCCCGAGCCCCTCACTACTGTCAACTCCTCACCTAGTCCCCGCTGCCATCTTCCTCCACCCTCCTAGACTTTTTACTTATGGCGTCCTGACAACAAATTGCTGTTATCTTTGTTGAAAGATTGGACAGTTTTCAGATTCTACTTGTTCTTTTGTGCCCTGACCACTAAGGAATGGTAATTATCAGTTCAGGAATATCACTTTAGTATCCACAATACAATCCATCCACAACATATTGGTGCTTTCTATCCCCAGTTCTCCTTGGAACCCCACCCCTGACTTCTGTGGCCATAGATGCTATCATTTTAATGCTGCAGAAGTGGTTACAAGCATACTACAAATTTCATTGACTTTCTTGAACTCAGTGTTATGCGTGGCTAGCTGTGATACAACTTAACTCTCTCCAAACATTTTCACTGGCCCAGAAAGATGACTAGATAAAAACATTTGCCACCAAGTCTGACAACCTGAGTTTTCTTTCATGTAAGCACCATATTGTTGTCTATTTCTAACATGAAACACCATAGTGATGAAAAACGGCCTTCAAAAAAGGTTTTTACTGGGCTTTAGTTTTTAAAACTCTCTCTTGATCAGATGATTCACTTCCTCAGATTGTTCACCATTTAGGTGATGAGCTCTCTCTTTATGTCACAATTGATTCTTGGTGTTTGTGTCTGTAGGATAGACTTTTTCTTCCGCTAGGATCTGAAGAGCTTCCCCAATTTGTCATCAGGGCTTGAGATAGTGGGAAATATGTATTTTAAAAGAAACATATAGATTTGTCCATATTATTTATATTTTAACCTGTGGTTACCTAACTGGGAGAATGTGCTATGCTCAGATGACATGCAATGGTCAAGGTCATATAGAGCACTGAGGTTACTGTCGTCTCTGAGCATGCCTTTGTGTTTGAGAGTTTTACAGGAGTTGTCCCAGATGCTCAGAGTGTGCTGACAACATTCTGTGATTCTTCAGCATCTTTCACACTTGCTCTTTTCCTTGGAAATGGTACTTTGATGGAAAAGGGAGGGCATATAGTAGCACTGGCCAGTTTCATAAGCCTTTTGAGAGTACCTACAAATGTTTGAAGAATCTGAAAATTTAGGATAACAATAAATATGTCATTACACCTGTTCTTATAGACTTTTAAGGAATTTTAGACTCTTATTTATTATACTTCCCTCAAATTAATAAATAGGCCTATTGCTTGAATGTAAGGGTACTTCTGAAAAGTGTTTAGAGATTGATGAAAATGGAGTGTATAATTTGCTTAAAAATAACTTTGTCCCATACCTAGATTTTTCCAGGCTTGTCTACACTATAAGCTTTTTTCCAGTTTTTTTTTAAATATCATTAGATAATTTTTTTCTTCCTGAGACAGGGTTTCAATATGTAGCCCCAACTTACCTGGAATTTGCTAAGTAGACCAGGCTGGCTGTAACTTGCAAAGATCCAACTTCCTCTACTTCTTAAGTGTTTGGATTAAAGGTATGTGCTACCATACTTGTCAAGTTTTATATGTCTAAGAAGTTGTTGTTCTCACATGACTTTAGTTTGAAAGACTCCCATGGGCGTATTCCTTCGGGAGAGACCCCGTGCCCAAAGATCAGTCGAAAACACGCGGCCGGATGTAATCAGCAAGAGGTTTATTGAATACTCAGGTACCTGGGGCGACAGAGTCTCTCTCGGAAGACTTGCGCGCCGCAGGTTGGGGGTGAGGGGTTTTTATAGGAGAGCAAAAAGCGAGGTTTACAGAAGCAAGATGCAGGGTGGTAAATTCTTAACCTAAATAACAATGAGGGGACTACTCAGCGGTTTACTGTTCCTCTTATCCTGCCCCTTTTCCTGGCTGGCGACCAGATGTCTGATTGCACAGCCCCTGACTCGTGACGAGCCCCGCTTTATACGTGACTCAGGCCTCGCAATCCTCTCTTTCTTTGTTTCTATGGCCAGTCCATAAATCCCCTGTCTCGCAGCCAGATAAGGCTGTCCTTGCTCTAACCTCAGGTATCTTTGCTCAGCATTCCGGAGGCCCTTAATTAAGCTTGTTATCTGCTCAGCATTCCAGAGGTCCTGAACTCCGGAGGCCCTTAATTAAGCTTGGTATCTGCAAACCTTTGCAAAACGGTATAACTGTGGTTAAAACGAGTTGGGGTCCTTCATTCCCCCATTTTTTGTTTTTATCATGGAGTAAAACCTTTTACTCAAGTATTTATAGGATCTCTTTCTCACTTTGGCTCAATTTTTGGTACTGGCTGGTTAAGACCAGGGTTTGAATGACTGAAAGTCTGTCCTTAATAAATTGAATCAACCGATTTACAATGCAAGGGCCAACTGTAAGAATTAACATCAAGAGGATTATAGGTCCCATTAGAGAAGAGATTAAGGTAGTGAACCATGGGGATCGGTTCCAAAGCCCTTCGTACCATGTCTGCTGGGCTTCAAATTCTTTTTTACGTTTTTCTAGCCTTTCTTTTAGTTTATCTAGAGTTTCAGTCACTACGCTGGTTTTATCAGTATAAAAACAACATTCTTCCTTTAAGGCCGCACAAAGGCCTCCCTCCTTTAGAAAGAGCAGATCTAGTCCTCTTCTATTTTGTAGTACCACCTCTGACAGGGAAGCTACTGATTCCGTCAGGGTTCTAACTGACTTCTCAAGAGCCCTTAGGTCTTCATTCATAGTTTGATGTAAAAGCATATATTGGTCCATGCGTACTAGAGCGGCAGCCCCCGTACCTATCCCTGCCGCAACGCCCCCCACCCCCAGGAGTACGGCCAGGGTCAGGGTAATAGCTTCCCGTCTTTCCCTCTGGGGAAGGTATTCATAATATTGGAGGACCGCCTCATCTGAGTGGTACGTGATGCGCGGCCAAATTTGTACCAAGACACAATATTCATGCGTTTGGTTGAATACTATTGCCGAAACACAGGGGGTTAGGCCGGTATTACAGGCCCAGAGGGTCCCATTTGGTGGGACTAGATAATAGTTTCCCTTGATAATGGGCACGGTTGAGATGCAAAAGGGCTGGCCAGACGCAGCTCCTATGCAAACTCCAGTACCTGTCACCTGAGTGAGGGTTAGATGATGGTTCAAGCTCTGGCAGATGGGGGGTGGCGAGGTGACATTGCTATAGTTGCCCCTGAGAGCTATCCCCTCATAATATGGGGGACTTGGGTTAGGCAGAGCCAGCAATCGTGGGCCCGATCCGGGTCCGAGTGATTTAAGGCCTGGTAAGCCCCCC